GTACATATAGGAATTATTTCCACTGCAGTATGTAGCTGTTCAACTCATTCATTCCCTAGTGTTTTCCTGAGCACTTGGAACATGTCTGGAACCATAAAAGGTAACTCAGAGCATTGACACCTTCGTCAACTTGCAGTTTTCTGGTGGAATAGGCATATTTATTTGTACTAGGAGGGTACCTAAAGGGCCACTCTCTTTCATTTCTTGTACTTCTTTTTTGAGATACCTACCTAAAAAAAATTTCCAATCAGTTACATGTTGCAAAATTTGCAAAAAGTGTATTTGTTATCCCATTTTGCAGAAAAATCCTGTGATGGCATGACAGTGAATCTCAAGCTCCATGTCTATAAAAGCAGAACCAAGGTGAACTGATAGCTTCCGGGAAGCAATGTGACCTCTTCTTTTTGATCCTTCTTTTTTTCCTTCCTGGTCTTTCTAATCATCCCACCTTAGCTCACATCATAGAACCACTTCCACATTTCCCTCCTTTATTTCTCTTCATAGCCCTTACTGCCATTTGGCATTTATTTATAAATCAGTTTATTACCTTGGGTAGTATGTAAACTCTGTAAGAACAAAAATTTCTTACTTATTTTGTAACCTCTTAATGAAAGTTAACTTTGTGTTTTCCAGAATAAAAGTTGATATATTTCTCAGGATAAAATACTGTGCATTTTATTTATTGCAATTGAGAGAAAGTACATTTAAAGAGTGTATGCATCTGTGGGTTTTAATAAATGACATTAATGTTGCTTTGTAATGCATGTATAAACATACCTAAAAATGACACTTCCTGGATCCGTGTGGTTTTAAAATACTGTACATCTTACTTGCATGGAGATTTTTATTCCGGAAAGGTATCGTACATGACAATCTGACAATCTTTCACTGCGATGCTGTCACTGCTTTTCTTAGATAAACTGACAAGACCTCAGCTGGGCCTCTACAAGTTGCTTAAGAACACTTCTAGGACCTTCCTAATGGGCATGTTCCAACTGTCACTTGGAAAAAAATGATCACTGGAGATCAATCTCTGTAGCTGGTCTTTTGGCAGAAACCCAGTCAAATCTTTCTCTCCAATAGAGTCTTTGTGGGGAAAAGGCCTTATCAAATTCCTTGGACATGAAGTTACTGTTTGAACTGCTCTCAAATGATTCTATCATCATGCAAGGAAGCTGCAGTTTCTAAAAGGTCAGGAGTAGCCTTGTAATGGTTTAGACCATCTTATAAGAATTAGACATGAAGATGTAAAAGCCTTGGGTTTTATTTCCTTTTGTAAGAAGAATCTGTATGTCATTAACTAAACCACAACTTCCTGATATAATTTTTGAAGAGTCCAAGAGTAAGAGACTAACAATAACCCTTACCCTACCCTGGGATTCAAAGTGTAGTATTGGTTTATTCTAGTGTAGAATAGAGAAGGGAAAAATAGAATGTGGAAAAAATGAGAAACAGTTTATTTCTTATGAACAAAAATCCATATTCTGTTAATAATTAATATAAGAAAATTTATTATTCTAAAATTAAGTTTTAGTTTTTTACATTTGATCTTAACCAAAAGGCCCGAGAAGCGATACAAAAGCTTTATTTTATATTGTATTTATCCTTCTGTATTGATCAAATAGAAGAATATAGGTTTTCAAATAAAAATAACTAGTAAACATTATTTGATTTGAATCCTGAAGAGGAGCTGGAAGTAAACCTCAAAATTAAAAGTGTATTAATGTTTTATTTATTATCTTTTTATTTATTAAAAATAGAAAAGTTCTAATGTTCATTAATCCTAAAATGACAATATTGAGCTTAGTGGAAAAATAAAAAGCAAGCATATGCTGTGATAATAAAATTAGGCTGTATTCATAATTATTACAGTGTACATCTTAGTTCATTTATATATTGGTAAAATAAGAGGACTTACTAGACAATCAAAGAGCTTTTTTAGTCAGCTGTTTTAGAGGCAATAATATACTTTAAATGTCATTTTGATAAATATATTAAGTTTAATTTCCTATATGTTCACTATAAAGAGCATGTTTATTTTGTTTTAAATGTAAACATTATGAAGTTGGTTCTTGCAATGTACTTTTGTAGAAAGACTGAGGTCTAATTTTACTCTTATTCTTCTAATGCTTTGAGCAGCTTACTCTTATTGTAGAATATGCATTTGTGACCATTTATTCGGATGAAAGAAATAAGGCTTTTAGGGATAAAAGCTTAAATACACTTATTTGTTGTTTTTAATTCTCTTGATTGTTCAAGCAACATTTTTATGAAACAGGAGATCTAAGTAATTTTGGGTAGCAGTTAATAAGCAAGTCTCCTTAGTCTTAATAAGTAAGTCTCCTGCTTTTCCTTAGAGGAAGAAAGCAAACAAGAAGCAAATTTGTAATTGTTATTAGAAATTTTATTTTAAAAGTAGTAATTTAACTTTACTGCGTCTTCTTCCTTCTCAAACTGTCTGCAAAATCTTGCCTTCCACATTATATAATCTTGCCATAAATTGGAAGCCATTTTCATTGTGTATGGCACTTTAAATCTTGTAGATATGTTTATTTACCATAACACTAATATTGGAGTTATTATAAAATCCAAAACTCTAGTCTATAGTAGAGGATATTTGAAAACACAAACTGCATAATGGATTAGAAGTACATATTTCACTGTTTAAGCATATTTGTTTGCATACAGCATAATTGTGTACTTCAAAATAGTGTGTGTATATTTATGCTTCTGTAAAATAGGAGTGCTGAACTGTGATTATATGATTTCTTACATAAAAATGTTGAACAGTGCCTAGTTTACTGATTACTGAAATTTCAAAGAACATATTTCTTTGTAATTCTTTCTATGACTTATTTCTCTTAAATATGGTTGGATTAATATGCATAAACTTTGGCTCAAAAACATTCATGTCAGTATTCTTCTTGATTTCGGCTGAAATAAAAAATTGTAGTAATAAAATCCAATAAATCCATTTTATGATTAAATAATACTTTCCCAAAGACACTAACAATTTTAATAAGGTATGCCCCAAATTCTAAATAATTTAAATCTCACATTTTATGTGATTTTTATTTGGACTTTTTATTACAGTACAAAGGTTTTATTAAAGTACATTAATATAGGTTTCAGGTGTACATCATTATATTTCAACCTGTGTATATATTACTTTATGTTTACCACTAAAAGTCTAATTTTAGACTAATATATTTATATGTATATACACACGCACGCACACACATATAATTCACTATTATATACATAATGTGTAATTGACACCTTTTACCCAGTATAACGCCTTTCTACCTTCTCTTCTATTTAACCATAGGTCACGTTTTAGAAACACTTTTTATTATTAATATTTTTGGGTCTCTGATATAACTCTGAAATTTATGACATTCATTCTTTGACATTCTGCAAAGGAAATATGAATTAATCATCGAACTTGTCCAGGAAGGGGAGAGGCATCTTACTTGTTCTATGAGCTTCCATCACAGCACATGAGCTATTTCTGAGATTACAGATCAAAGAAAGGTCCCACAGTATCATTTTGCTGCCTGCTCAGTTCCCAGTCTCTTAAAACTCTTGACCTGGATAGCACAGCAGTGCATCCTGGGCTTACTTAAAATTGATTCTCTTATCATACCTTCTGAAAACAGAGGTTATTATTAACAGCAAAATAAACTAGGCCAGAGTTATTGTATGTTTTTTTGAAAACGTGCAAGAAATGGTTTAATAAGCTATTTTTCTTTCAAAAATTGCATTTCTTTAATTAGGAATCACAAATGATTGTATATTTTTTTGAAACATGAAGTCTAACCAAAGAGTAAATGAGAAGGAGCTCATTATTGATTATAATCCTTCATATCAATTTAGAAAGTGGAAACATTTGTTAAAGAGCAGTGGGTAGACTTTCTTGGCTTGAAGTCTACCCAGAAAGATTTTATGTAAAGAACTACAGATGATCTCTCTCATATCCAACTAGTAAGTTAACTCTTTTGTCAGTTTTGTAGTCCCTGTGTTTTTCTCCTTAATTTTGATTCTACTTACTTTCATTGATTTGTAAGCAGTTGAAGAGTAGGCATCCAGTCATTTAAGTCTTTGGTATCTTTCTCCAAAAGTTTAGAATGAAGTCGATGCAATAAATGTTGATGACAGAGGTCTTATTTTCAGGTAGGAATATAAGACTTCATTAAAATGAAACTTGTCAAGAGCAAAACACATGATTCCACACCTACTTCTTTCCAATTTGGGAAGTTATGAAGAATTAAGTAACTTTTTGCTGTGGGATGAATATGAGGCTGTGAGATGAAAATTCTACCTCATTTCTGTGATGAATTAGTTATGCCATATTGCCTTGCTTATCTGTAAAGTGATGAAGTTGGACCAACTGATTTTTAGATGACCTTCTAGTTCTAAATTTAATTCTGTTCTGATGAAGGGTAATAGAATTTCCTTACACTAAGTCCCTATGCCAGGTAATAGTTCTCTTAATTTTCTAGAACATAGGATGTGATTTCACCCCAAGCTGAAATGTTATAATCATATCCACAAAGCATATGACACTATTACTACCTGTGTTTTTAGCAATTTGAAAAGATGTTATTAAATGTAGAGGTCTTTGTTTTGTAATTTTATTGTGTTTTTTTTTTTTAGTTGTTTGTCTTCACTGTAGCAATATGGTGTGATTTTATCTTTTCCTTTTCACCTCTACCAATTGTCAGTAGTAAAATGACTAAATAGATTAATAGTTATGAATGAGTCTTGTTCTGTTTTCTATAAAAATGAAAAAATGCTCATCTTCCCTGTATCACCTTTCATGTTGTTAGTCTCATACTTATCTGGGATGGAATGACTGGTAATTTGCCATAATCAAGAGATCACAACCACCCCTGTCCTCCAGCAAATACACCACTAACACTCAAAGTTAATAATAATGTTTAGTTAAACCTGGTATTTTATGTTCCTCTATGTCATCTGCTTTCTATTTTTTTTTTCAGGATATCTTTGAAGATTAATCAGAGAACCTTTCACTCACCTATAAAGGTAGGAAAAATAAGTGTTTTTTTATAAAATATGTTGCATTTGTTTTAGTTGTTTCAGTAATTTACAGTTCTTGTTAGAGATAAATGAAATTGATGTTATTCTTAATGGCAGAAAAGTGTTTTGTGTCTATTTACTTGCTCAAGTTGAAATCATCAAACAATTCATGTTTAGTCATAAGTTTGGATTTCTCGTCCATAATATTTATTTCATATTTTTACAATTTACATATTATGTAGACAGAATTTAATTCTCTTCTTACATTTTTATAGCATCTTATCCAGAATCTTAAGGTAGTTTGACATTGCCATATAAAATTCCCATATGTATAGAAAACAATTTTATAATATATGCATATCAATTTAAAATATAAAAAAAATTAAAATAAATTTAAAATTTATGTTGTTGGAAACCAAGAGTCTCTTGAAGATAATTTCACATTTTATTGCTATTTTAAACCTGTAATTTTGAAAGAAACAACCAAAGAAACTATAAGTATAATTAACTGTCAGTGATGTAGTAGTGTAATGTTATTTTAGAAAAATTTTACTTCAGTATTACTTAATAAGTTTTTAGTTTTACTTAATAAGAGTTCCAGAAAATGTGGCTGCTTTCTTGGCTAGGATGTATGTGAAGATAAATTTAGAATTCCTAGTCTAGTAAATACTTCTATGATAATAGCTTAATTGTAGCTATTTCAAACCAAATTGTTTAATTGTGGTGAATCATATGCAGATTGTTCAGATGTAGGTCAGCCTCCCACTCCCACATTCTAGCACCTCTTTCTAATTCAGGACAAACTGCTTAGTGCCTGAAACAGGCAGAACAGTACACATCAAAAGCTCAAAAATAATAGCATAAAAGCCACCAGTGGGCCAGGAGTCAGAAAGGGCCAGCGGAAACAGCAATCAGGTCACGCGTGTTGATATGTTAGCTGGTGAGCTGTTACGTCTGCTGTGTTTGCTCACCTCTCTTGAGACTTGTGGCTGAAGACTGGTGCATCCTGGATGCGATTTACTCATCTGTAAGATGTGTGTTGTAGGTTGTTCTTGTCTACTCATGGAACTGCACAGTAAAACAAGGAATGTAAAATGTGTCACTCCTCTAATCCCAAATTGTTTTTGGTGCTCAGGGTGAGTGGGCCTCACAGATGGGAAAGAATGGCTTGTTTTGTTCTGGGTGAGGCCAAATGAGATGTTTGCAGTTGTGGAAGTGAAAGATATGCCTTATTTTTCTTGGTGTTCCATTATAGTTCTGCAGAAACATGATTAAAAACAGTTTACATATTACAAAAACATTTGAATTCTTCGTGAAATAGGCAGTCTCTTTTCAGAGAACTCTAAAATGAGGCTGAAGGCGGGAGTTTTAATAAGATAAAGAATAAAGAACAAGGAAAAGAAAAACAGAAAATGTCTGAACTGGGGCCAAATGGTCAATGTTGAAAGGGTGAAAAGCCCTGGAGTTGTGTGGCATTTGGAGATTAGGCGACATGTTTCTGGTGAAGCTGAGCATTTACAGGGACAGGGAAGTCCCTGTTCCAGGCGTCTGATATGGTGTCTCATGCTGAAGAGCCTCTGTCTTGGGCCAGGGAGTTATTTCAACAGTTTCAATCCATAGTTTCCTTTTTGATGAAGCATTATCATTGTCTGATGAATGGCTGAGGATTTATGATTCTATCTTCTTTATGTGTTTTTACTGTAAAATAAAAAAAATTTCCAGTTACTAAAGGGCTGAAAAATGATAAAGTAGACTCATAAAATTGTTGCATTTGTTGTCTTTTATACTTTAGATAATTATTGCTGATATTCTTGGTATAAGTGACAGAAAATATTGAGTATTGATGGTTAGTGATTAAAAAAATTATTTTGCTTATAATGCTAAAATATTGATTTTACCTTATTTAAAGATAATTTTCTATTATTATTCTTCACTGGAATTTCATTTTACTAGAATTAAAATTTGTATAATAATCTAACTTAAGTTCTGCTATTTTCTAAATTTTTTTATGGAATTATTCATTCTTGAATGCTTACTGGAGAATTATTGAAGGGAGTTATTGAATTAAAAAATGGTATTAATATTCTAATTCCTAAATTGAGGATAATAGATGCTGTATACTTCAAATTTTTCTAATATAAACATGTTATTTGAGTTATTTAAATAAAAAATAGAAAATTGTAGAAGTAGAAAATGATATTTCCCCCAGAGTTATATATTGCTAAAGTTTTGATGTTCATTCTTTCATATTGTTTCTTTAAATTCATGAACATTTAATATGTTCATATAATACTTTCATGCCAGGTATTATACATACATATTAATAAATATTAATATGTTCATATAATAATTTCATGCCAGGTTTAAAATTTCATTTTTAACATTTTAATTAGAAACATACTTCTAAGTCAATTTATGTTATCTGTCTCTTTCTGTTGAATGACTGCCTATTAGACAACTTTTTGAGGTACCATATAATTTATCGACTAGATTCTAAATTTTTTTTTGTTTAGATAGAACTTTAAAATAGAATAAAGGAAGATCATTCTTAATTACACTTTTGGCAAGCATTCAAAAGGATAATTTCCGTTTGTACATTAAATCAGGAAATTGGGGACCAAAGAAAAAGAGTTACAGTAAAGAGGCATTAAAAATATTATTAGATAAGTGAACATAGATGTTCAGGGGAAGGAAAAACTAGTAATATAAATGTTCACATAAGTGTGGTGTAGGTATATAAAATGAAATGCTTACTAATTTTTTCAAGGTTCACCCCAAATGACAACTGTTTCCTCAGTATTTAAAGAGACTCTTCCCCTCTCATTCTTACATGAGTTGTCCTTGTATCTCCATAACATTTCAGGGAAAAATGGATCTTACTACATGTCACATATGGAAATTCATTTTGTATCTATCTTTTTTCCCCTACTAGATAGGGAACCAAATATCTTTGAACCAAACATATGCTGAATAAATGTTCATTCAGTTAAAGAACATTAGTATATGAGAAAGGGAAGTACTCAATTAAAAATATTTAATCTTACTAAGATAATATAGGTGTCATAATTTGCCTATTATTTCTGGAGTAAATGTAGTCAGTTCTCCTGAAAGATGAGCTATCCACATGTGAGTTTTCATATATAATGAAATCTATTTTAAATTGAATTGTAATGATTTTCTTTTTGGCACTCATGCTTAAAATCATGCCTACAAGTCAAATATTTCAGACAAATCTGTATATTGGTGAAAATACAGTGCTGAACCTGTTTATACATTACGTTAGAAGGATCTGCAAATGCTTTGTCAGCTTTAAAGCATTATGTACATGTAAGATTGTTATTATTTTTATTAAGAATATAAAATTGGGTCTGTAGGTTGAAAACATGGATGGCTATTTATGAAATAGAAGAAATATACAAAAGAAGAAATTCCTTATGTGAATTCTTTTAGGAGAAAGGGAGGATAGTTTTTAGTATTTTTGTATAATGGAATTTGGTACTCATGCCATCAAAATGAATCATTGACATTGTTTCTATCAGCAAAAGTAGATTTACTAGTAGTTTGAACTATGCTTTAAAAAACCTCTGATTCCACATTAGTTTGAATTTAACGCTAATATAAATTTAAAGTATCGGAAAAGATTTAGTAATGTAATTTCATTTACAGAAAATTTTAAAGTGTGTATGAAGCCTTTTTTGAAACAAAAAGTAATGTCTTGTACATGATAGTTTCTCTTCTTATCAGACTTTCATAAGCTACTAGACCCCAACTTTGATATCACATACTTTTTATTAGACAAATCTGAAGGAGAAAACAATATTTGTCAGTCTTTTCTAAGAATTTTGAGGTTATTGCTGATCTTTTTAACCCCAGAATTTGGAACTCTGGACAAATGCATACTTTTGTATTGTCTTTGTTCTCAAAGCACACCCAATTACTGTTAGCTATTTGTCTAGGGTTACAAATGCATGAGTATTTACAGGACCTATGGATACAACAAAAGTGTTTGCAATAGACTTAGGTCAGATTATAGGGAGTGGCATGGACTTGGGAAAAGAAGATCAGATGTTCAGCATACAAGAATTCATAGATATAGATAGACTGAAAAGTGAAAAGAGAATGTATAGAGTATGCATAAGATGTAATGACAGGGAAAAGAACCTAGAAGAAGGAAAAAATGAGATTGCATTAAATGTAATTTACATTGGTAGCCTTCAATCTCAGTAATATTAAACTAAATTTAAACATATTTAAGCATATTTTAAATATTTTAAACATTTTTTAAAACATCTTAAACATAAATTTAAACATATTTTTTAACAATCATCATAGAGCAAACCTTGACTTTGGTAATGAAAAGATGAACAAGACCAGAGAGAGTCCTAGGATGGCTGCAGTGCTTGGGTAAGGCACATCAGCAAACATGTTTTCACTTTAGTGACTGGGACATTCACTGGGCTGTTTTCAGGTATAAAGGAAAGTTGTTAGCAGCGAAACTTAACATCTCTAAAGTTTCTCTGAGGAAATCATGTCCATGAAAGGTTTTGATAATCACTAAACTAAATTGGAAAACTGTATGGGGATGGAACACAGCTTAATTAGCATTCAATCAGGGCCTGGTACATTGTTGATGTTTAGTGAATGGACAATGTAATTTGTTGGAATTAACTTGCAAACCAGGTAAACAAACTTAGGAAGAGAACAAGGACAAAGTCAGTACTTTATTTTATAAAAATAACAATGGTGAGTGGAAGGATGGAGATCTTCAGTCTTTCATAGTGACAGAGAATGATGAGTTGTGAATGGAGAAATAACCAGGGTCCAGGAGACATATCTCTATAATATAAATGCCTCAGGTTTATCTTCAGATAACAGGAGCATAGCATTTTGAGATTTGTATTGTCATCTTATTATTCATGAATGGGTACAAGGTAGACAAGGACAGACACAGTATACTTATTAGGAGGTCATTTCACTCGTCTTGGCAAAAAGACTTGCATTGCTAA